AGTAGACGGTTTGAGGATGAACCGAGAACAGACGGACGTATGTATGTGTCCTGCCGCTGATGGTTCGTGCAAGAGAAAACCCCAGCTGTCGAAGAACGATCCGAGTGAATGCACTTGATGGAGCTCCTCTTACGTCCGCATCAAGATTCGTACCTTGCCATTTCCAGTTCAATCGGAGACTTGAACTGAGGTTGTATGTAAGCATTTGTGGCAGGTCCACACGAAATGAGCTACTTCCAATGGTTCACATGGCGCTAGAGCGAGGAGCAATCTATCAGTGCTTTACAATGACACCATCTTCTCTGATATCCTATGATGACTAACCCGAAGTCGAGGTACCTGTGAGCAACTGCGCTAGCGTTTGAGCTACGACAGAAATTTGGGTGTCCTTACATCCCTTCGCTTTCCTGCTCGAGGTTTTGTTCATGGTGGCGACGTACCAGCTTCCATCACGGTGGGTTGTTGTTCGCAGTAGTTTCCTGTGATTAGGGTCACAACGATACTAGCGCTACAGCCGTTCTGCCAACTGGAAGAAGCAACACTCTCAAATACGATGGCTAGAACGGTCATGTGAGGCATACACCAAAGTACCAGCCTCAATCATGTTCGATCGCGCACCAAGCGCGTGGATGGAATGTACAGGCGCTGATGGTGATCCTGATCGTTGGCCGGAGATCTGGACGCCACTCTCATGCCTTGGACGTGGGTACAGTTGTTGTACATTCGTGTGGCGCTTTGTTTCGGAGACGTCGGGCATGTTGCGTCGTCGCTGATGGTGTACTACGACTGTGTTTCACGTTGGACGATTACAAACTGACGATAAGGGTCACCCGCGAGAGATGTAGGATATGTGAAGTGTTGAAAGCCAGTAGTTTGGCGCATCAGAAGGTGTGAGACTGTTCTCTCCAACACGTGTTTCCAGCTGCTCCGCTCCGACTTCGTGATTTCTTCCTGCGATACTAGCCACGTTATGGAGGTGCGCAAACAGCACGAACCGAAGTGACGGCAGATACGAGGAAGTAGCGGAAAGGTTGTAGAGAATATCAGAGTACGACATCGAATGGCATGCGCTTGGTAGCATCGGCGTCAGTCCTAGTTTTGGTTCGTCATTGGTGCAAAATACTCCACCATTTGGACGATGTGTTCGATGGATTATTGTTGGGGTAGTTGGATGTAAAAGCCGAAGTGAATATATTTAAGGTCCTTAGTTCACTACCCTTAGCTAAGTCTAAGCCTTAATGTAACGACATCCTGTGATCTCATCATGTAACCGCGATCCAAAACCTTCTTCCGTAATAACCACCATGAAACACCCTGACACAGAAATCATCACCATGAACCCAACATGAAACGACTGCACGAAGCGGCGTATTCTCAACACTCCCACTCGCCGCTACTGCTTGGTTTCTTTGCACTGGATACTGTTTGCATCGCGCAGGAACTTGAACGTCTTGGATCCTAGCGCCTTGGTCAGTATGTCGGCCAATTGATGTTTGGTGTCCACATACGCTACCGCAACAGGTATTGTTCCGTTTATGAGAGAGCAGTTCAGCATCCATGGCTTCACGCCACTGTGTTGAATCTTCACTGGCAATTGCCTGAGCGTATGTTGTAGGAAGATCCACTGTGTCAATGCTTGCTGTGTACGCGAGGACGGCTTCAGCAATAAGGCCGTCTTCATCGATCCTGGCACGCTTCGGATAGGACGGTCCATCTCTTCCTTCCGACTTCCGTTCTTCCTCTGCGTCCGTTCCCTCTTCAAGAAGGAAGACTGGTTCCCGGGAACTTCTAAAACGGTCTCTAGGGGTATGGAACACCACTTGATCGTCCTCGAAGATAGTCGGTGGTCCACGGTACGGTTCCAACTATTATCCAGTGGAAGCTGACCGTTCTTGTGGCATCAGCAGCGGCGGTATAGCGTCCTGTATCGGTTGCATGCTCTCCATCTCTACATCCGGTGCGTCGTTCTCAACGCCTTCCATGGGTTCCGCTTCGACGGGTTGAAGTTCCACTGGTGCGAGCGTGACTTCATCATCGGCGTCTGTGCTAACATGAATAACTGTTTCGATCTGAGCAGGTAGTGTATCGTAAATACCATCTACCTCACGCTCGTCCAATTTCACCGAGCGAGAAACTTTGACCTTGGAAGCGTCCAAGTCATAGACACGGTAACCCTTGACGTTTTCTGGGTATCCGAGCAGCAGACATCTAAAGCTCTTAGGTTCAAGCTTCGTCCTCTTCGCTTCGTCAATGTGAGCGTACCCGCGAGAACCAAATACGCGTAGGTGATCTAGCGTAGGTTTCACTTTGAAACCTAGCTCAAACGGTGTTACGGTTGCGTTGTGCGTGTTCGTTGAACGGTTGATTAGATATACCGCAGTACTAACTGCTTCAGCCCACCACTCCATTGGAACGCCCTTGTAGTATAGCATACTTCGAGATCTCTCCATGATAGTTCGGTTCATCCGTTCTGCCACTCCATTCTGCTGAGGGCTATACGGGACAGTCCGTTGGTGCACGATACCGTTCAGCATACATATCTTCGTCATCTCTTGGTTGACAAACTCCGTTCCGTTATCCGATCGTAAACACTTCATGCGCTCTCCCCATTGATTCTCATAGAAATTCATGAACTCTCTAAGCTTAATGGCCACCTCGCTCTTCTTTTTCAAGAAATAGGCCACAACGTAGCGCGAGTAGTCGTCCACGAACGTCAGGACATACTTGGCACCACCTTTCGAAGGATTATTCATTGGTCCCATCATATCCGTGTGGACGAGCTCAAGAACGCGCGACGTCTTCGAGCTGGAACAATGCGGAAATTTAGCCACCGTTTGCTTCCCCTTCATGCATCCGCCGCACAAAGACTGGGGCGGTTGACCAACAGCCGGAATACCGTTCGTGGCATGCCTTGTCTTATCCAGAGCATCCTGGTTGGGATGCCCCATGCGAGCGTGCCAAAGCTCCCACTTGCTGTCAGCCCCGGCGTACTGGACGAACCGAGCTTCTTCTTGTTCACAGTCTAACATGTAAGCCTTGCCGACCTTCTTACCCTTCGCAATTGCGCTAGCCGCTCCCCATATAACACATGAGGAACGCTGAAACTCCACGTTCAGTCCACGATCCGCGAGCTTCCCCACTGACAACAGACGCCGATCGAGGCCCGGTATGTGAAGAACTTCAACCATCTTAATCCGTTTACCGTCCAGTCCAAGCAAGCGTACCGTACCACGTCCAGTGACCTGCAGCTTCTTTCCGTCAGCGATTGTTACTTCGATGCCACCATTCACGTTCTCATACTCGAACAGATCGGAACGGTGCGGGGTCATGTGGGCGGTCGCGCCGCTGTCGATCAACCATCCGTTTACACGTTCTGTGCTCACAACAAATACCGCATCGCCGTCTGTTGTTCCCTCTTGACAGTCCCGCTTCATGTGCCCAACTTTGTTGCACTTGAAACACTTGCCTTGGAAACCACTAGAGTTCTTCTTCTGATCGCTCCACTTGCGACCACTCCTCTTGTTGCCCTTGAAACGTCCAGCGTTGACCTTAAATGCTCGTTCCGAAGTCGTGTATTTCTTCTCCAACCGTTCACACTCCTTCAACAGCTTCTCTTTCACCTCGATGAGCGTGATGTCCTTGACGTTCTCGATGATCGACGATATCAGCTCGTATTCGGCTGGAAGGCTGCTCAGCAGCACTACTAGCTGCCGTGCCTCGTCGACGGGCTCTCCAAGCGTCTGAAGACCGACAACGAGCTCGTCGAAAGCGTCCAAATGCTTTGCCATGGCCGTTCCAGCAACCATCTTGAATTCGTGGAGGCGCCGTGTCATCGTGACCCGATTGTGGAGTGTAGTGCGATTGTAGAACTCCCTAAGTGTTACCCACGCTTGAATAGCACGCGTCGACGAACGGATCTTTGTCTGGTGTTGTAGTTCCACACCCTGCGCGATGATGCCGAGAGCCTTTGCGTCATTTACTAACCAAGCTTCCGTTATCTCACTCTCCGCCTTGACCACCTCCACGTGCGCCAGCAGTCCTTTTCTGGCGAGCGACATCCTCATATTGAACTCCCAATGGAAATAATTTCCACTTCCTAGGAGGACTTCGGCGCGCTTGGTACTCATCATGTGCGATCCGTGCGAGGCGAGGCGTTCTTGGTCTTGACGCCGCTGTCCGAGTTGCGGCTGTTAACCTGTTGGGGTAGTTGGATGTAAAAGCCGAAGTGAATATATTTAAGGTCCTTAGTTCACTACCCTTAGCTAAGTCTAAGCCTTAATGTAACGACATCCTGTGATCTCATCATGTAACCGCGATCCATAACCTTCTTCCGTAATAACCACCATGAAACAGTGAGTGAGAAGGTGAGGTATATTTAGGTACGCGTACGACCTGCTATATCCTGTCATCCGGCAACAAAGTTACCTAATCGACCGCTACTTTATATACTAGGTAGCGCTAGTCCTCGCACAGCAGGGCGCCTACGCGCAGAGTCCTGTCTCGAGATAATCATGTTCCTCGAGGTCAGCCCGGGGCCCTGTATGACGAGTTGATGGTTGGCTTGAGAGGTCTCCAACCAATGATTGACATCAGTGTCAAGGAAGTTTGAAGCCTCCTGGACCAGACCTGGGTTAGAAATAGCGTGCGTTTGTATTGAAGATCCCGTGTCCATAGCGATATTTGCCAGTCGATCCGCCATTTTGTTGAAGGTGCGGTATTGACGTCCCCAGCTGGCGACATCAATATCGTTAGCGATGGCACGTGCTTCGTTGAATAAACGCACCAAGTGCGGCTTGCGTGGAGGGTGTTGTGTTCGGAGTTGAGAAAGTACAAGCGCACTGTCCCCAATGACGTGCAGGGGGTGAGTAGTCGCCTGTCTTTGCTTGCCGAAGACCATGCACGAGCCCCCAATATTCAGCGACATTGTTAGTGGTATCGGCAGATGCATAAGCCATACTTGATACCCACAGAACGCATGCGGCGTGAGTCGGAACGTGTAGTCATACAATCACAGACCCGGCTCCACCTGGACCTGGATTTCCGCGGGACCCGCCGTCAAAGAAGAGGAGGTGAAGCTCGCCAGGGAGCCGGTCGATAGGCCGGACTAGTAACGAAGGAGGTTCATCGTAGCAGAGTAGGGTATCAGCCAAGGCCGACCGTACCTGCGCAACCAGTTGCCCATCTTCCCCCATCTCGGGCTGATAGGTTGATCGCCGAAATCGTCTGACCGCCCGACGAAAGCTCGTCTTGGCGCTGGCTATGTGCACCTCCTGTGATAACGACGAGTCTTCCATGCGGCGGAGGCGCTCGACCCAAATTGCATGAAGGGTCGTTGATACGACAAAACGCCACAGCTCTCTAGCTGCCGGAAATATAGCAGCCTGAGCTTTTGATATATTTGTGCCTGGGTCCATGGATTGCTTAATTACATCCCAGGCGTAGGGTGGAATCGCCGGGAGGTCCAGGCCAAACACCCAAACATTCAATTCAGCCTCCTGGAAAGTTCCAAGCCATCGCCACCGATCAAGGAGAAACTCCCAGTGACGAAGCGCACTAGAGCATGTCCAAAAGATATGGCTTGCCAGAGCTGGACCAGCATTCGCACACTCAGGGACCGGGCAAGACAGATCTTGCTTCGCCCAATTCCAGAGCGGAAAACTGTTACTCTTTAGCCTATACAGCGTCTGAGCGTTTGTCGGAAAGGACGCTCGTATTCGTCGAATGTCCCTCCAAGTAATCAATGTTGTACCTTCCGAGATCACGTGAACGTCCGTCGTTGCCACACGTTCATCAAGAAGTCTAGTCCCTACAGCACGGCGCCGCTGGGTGATAATCTGTTTCAGTTTACGTCGTTGCGGCCGCCACCTTCGTCGTCCAGCCCACATGTGGACAACGCGAGTAAGCGCCGGATGCGCTCCAAAGTGAACAGGAGACTTACTAGCTGTTGACGCGGCTATATCGCATGCCGCCATCGACGCGACCGGTTGCACTCCACATTCCATGCCCGTATCGAAATGTCTGAGCGACTTACCGTCACCAGTTAGAAGCCAGTCATGGAACTGGTGCACCTTTGTAGAGTATGCAATCACAGACCCAGGCTCCAGTGGTCGATATACCAGTGACGGGAAATTGTAAAGCAGCGCGAGGCAGAAGGACCCAAAATGCCGTCGCTTTGCCATAGACTGGGACGCCATGTCACGCGTAGGAGAGAACAAGACCATGCCACTCTGCACGGTCGTCCACGTCATTGTCTCGCCAAGGTAATTCAAGTTTCGCGCAAAGTCGGCCCCGTTCAAGCTGTATGCCTTACCCTGTCGATCTCTGAGCCACGACATATCCTTAAGCGTGGCGTATGCCAGCCACCGGTGGTCAAATCGCCCTGATGCTGCTACATCAGCTCGCATCCCAACGCGCAATCTGTCATCAATAACCCGCCGAACATCAATTGTGACACCACCGTCTTCATTATAGGCGACTGCTGCTCTCGACGTAAACGACAAGGCTCGTCTACCGACCTCGCTGACCGCACCTTGGCGTGCATGTTGAGCCGAAGAAAATCCAACAATTTCAGACCCGGTTAGCCAAAGCGTTGCGCGATATCGAGGGAGCTTGTCTTCCGTCCAACAAGGCGTAATGTAAGCCGTACCCGACCCGGTAGATCCCCATAAGAAGTCACCAATTAGTAAGTCTCTCGAAGAGACAGTAGCAGCCCATTGTCCAACTGCTGTTGCCGCCATCGTCATCAATTCCGTCCGAATACAGGGAACCGCTAGTCCTCCCTGCTGGATAGGTAAGGCCGCTATCTCGGAAGATACCCAGGGTCTGGATCGCTTTCTATCTCGGACACCCCATACAAAGTCCATTATTAAGCTGTGCAACCGGGTAACCACTGCGGGAGTAACCACCATGAAACACCCTGACACAGAAATCATCACCATGAACCTAACATGAAACGACTGCACGAAGCGGCGTATTCTCAACACTCCCACTCGCCGCTACTGCTTGGTTTCTTTGCACTGGATACTGTTTGCATCGCGCAGGAACTTGAACGTCTTGGATCCTAGCGCCTTGGTCAGTATGTCGGCCAATTGATGTTTGGTTTCCACATACGCTACCGCAACCGTCCCGTCTTCGATCGTCTCTCTGATGAAGTGATGACGGATGTCCACATGCTTGGTCCGAGCATGATAACCAGCGTTTTGGGCCAAAGCAATCGCTCCTTGATTGTCCTCCCATATCTGGGTAGCGTTCATTTGTACCATTCCCATGTCCGTCAGTATCGCACGCGTCCATAGCACTTCCTGAACGCATAGGCTTAAAGCCATATACTCAGCTTCCGCTGAGCTGAGGGCAACCGTTCGTTGGAACTTAGATTTGAACATCACCGGAGCTTTCCCAATCATGATCATAACCCCCGAGACAGAACGCCTGTCGTCGAGGTTGGAACCCCAGTCCGCATCCGAGTAGGCTTCAGCTGTGACGCTGCCAGTACCACCTTTGTAGATGATCCCGTGCTGGCGAGTCGTCTTTAAGTAGCGTAGAACACGTATAGCAGCGTTCCAATGCTGCGCCCCGGGATTCTCCAGGAAACGAGAAAGTTGCGTTACCACGAATGAAATGTCCGGGCGAGTACACGTCGTGATATACAGTAGGCATCCAATTAAGGAGCGGTAAGGTCTCGATTGCATCTTTCTTCGCTCTTCATCCGTTGCTGGCGATTGCGACTTTGACAACTTAAGACCAGTTGCACACGGGTTGTCAATTGACTTAGCGTTCTCTTGCCCGAACCGTTTCGCCACATCATCGATGTATCGCGTTTGCTTAATCATAAGCGTTCCAGCAGTCATGTTATGGTCGATCTCCATTCCCAGGATAAATTTCGCCGGTCCAAGCTCCTTCATCTTAAAGACACTCTTGAGTGCGTTTTTCACGTCATCAATTTCATCACTAGTCTTCGCCGCAATGATCATATCATCTACGTAAAGACAGACGTAAATGAAATTGCTCTTGGAACGCTTGACATAGACGCACTGGTCCGCACCACAGCTCTTGAATCCGTACCCAAGAAATACCCGATGAATGGTTTTGTTCCAGGCACTTGCAGCTTGCTTCAGTCCATAGATGGCCTTGTTCAGCTGGCACACATAGTTCTGAGCGTTCTCAACGCCAATTGGTACCTCCATGTAGACACGGTCCTCCAACTCACTGTTGAGGAACGCTGTGTCAGCGTCCAACTGTTCCATCTGGTACGCGAAAGCAGCGCAGACGGAGAGCACAACTCGAATCGAGTTCATGTTCGCCACAGGAGAGTACGTTTCAAAAAATTCCACTCCGTACTTCTGCTTGAAACCCTTCGCCACCAACCGCGATTTGAAGCGCACCACGCGACCGTTCTGGTCACGCTTCTTGGCGAAAACCCATCTGCACCCAATGGTACGGATGGCCGTTCCTCGTGGAACTAATGTCCAGGTATCGTTCCGTTTATGAGAGAGCAGTTCAGCATCCATGGCTTCACGCCACTGTGTTGAATCTTCACTGGCAATTGCCTGAGCGTATGTTGTAGGAAGATCCACTGTGTCAATGCTTGCTGTGTACGCGAGGACGGCTTCAACAATAAGGCCGTCTTCATCGATCCTGGCACGCTTCGGATAGGACGGTCCATCTCTTCCTTCCGACTTCCGTTCTTCCTCTGCGTCCGTTCCCTCTTCAAGAAGGAAGACTGGTTCCCGGGAACTTCTAAAACGGTCTCTAGGGGTATGGAACACCACTTGATCGTCCTCGAAGATAGTCGGTGGTCCACGGTACGGTTCCAACTCAAATCCAGTGGAAGCTGACCGTTCTTGTGGCATCAGCAGCGGCGGTATAGCGTCCTGTATCGGTTGCATGCTCTCCATCTCTACATCCGGTGCGTCGTTCTCAACGCCTTCCATGGGTTCCGCTTCGACGGGTTGAAGTTCCACTGGTGCGAGCGTGACTTCATCATCGGCGTCTGTGCTAACATGAATAACTGTTTCGATCTGAGCAGGTAGTGTATCGTAAATACCATCTACCTCACGCTCGTCCAATTTCACCGAGCGAGAAACTTTGACCTTGGAAGCGTCCAAGTCATAGACACGGTAACCCTTGACGTTTTCTGGGTATCCGAGCAGCAGACATCTAACGCTCTTAGGTTCAAGCTTCGTCCTCTTCGCTTCGTCAATGTGAGCGTACCCGCGAGAACCAAATACGCGTAGGTGATCTAGCGTAGGTTTCACTTTGAAACCTAGCTCAAACGGTGTTACGGTTGCGTTGTGCGTGTTCGTTGAACGGTTGATTAGATATACCGCAGTACTAACTGCTTCAGCCCACCACTCCATTGAAACGCCCTTGTAGTATAGCATACTTCGAGATCTCTCCATGATAGTTCGGTTCATCCGTTCTGCCACTCCATTCTGCTGAGGGCTATACGGGACAGTCCGTTGGTGCACGATACCGTTCAGCATACATATCTTCGTCATCTCTTGGTTGACAAACTCCGTTCCGTTATCCGATCGTAAACACTTCATGCGCTCTCCCCATTGATTCTCATAGAAATTCATGAACTCTCTAAGCTTAATGGCCACCTCGCTCTTCTTTTTCAAGAAATAGGCCACAACGTAGCGCGAGTAGTCGTCCACGAACGTCAGGACATACTTGGCACCACCTTTCGAAGGATTATTCATTGGTCCCATCATATCCGTGTGGACGAGCTCAAGAACGCGCGACGTCTTCGAGCTGGAACAATGCGGAAATTTAGCCACCGTTTGCTTCCCCTTCATGCATCCGCCGCACAAAGACTGGGGCGGTTGACCAACAGCCGGAATACCGTTCGTGGCATGCCTTGTCTTATCCAGAGCATCCTGGTTGGGATGCCCCAGGCGAGCGTGCCAAAGCTCCCACTTGCTGTCAGCCCCGGCGTACTGGACGAACCGAGCTTCTTCTTGTTCACAGTCTAACATGTAAGCCTTGCCGACCTTCTTACCCTTCGCAATTGCGCTAGCCGCTCCCCATATAACACATGAGGAACGCTGAAACTCCACGTTCAGTCCACGATCCGCGAGCTTCCCCACTGACAACAGACGCCGATCGAGGCCCGGTATGTGAAGAACTTCAACCATCTTAATCCGTTTACCGTCCAGTCCAAGCAAGCGTACCGTACCACGTCCAGTGACCTGCAGCTTCTTTCCGTCAGCGATTGTTACTTCGATGCCACCATTCACGTTCTCATACTCGAACAGATCGGAACGGTGCGGGGTCATGTGGGCGGTCGCGCCGCTGTCAATCAACCATCCGTTTACACGTTCTGTGCTCACAACAAATACCGCATCGCCGTCTGTTGTTCCCTCTTGACAGTCCCGCTTCATGTGCCCAACTTTGTTGCACTTGAAACACTTGCCTTGGAAACCACTAGAGTTCTTCTTCTGATCGCTCCACTTGCGACCACTCCTCTTGTTGCCCTTGAAACGTCCAGCGTTGACCTTAAATGCTCGTTCCGAAGTCGTGTATTTCTTCTCCAACCGTTCACACTCCTTCAACAGCTTCTCTTTCACCTCGATGAGCGTGATGTCCTTGACGTTCTCGATGATCGACGATATCAGCTCGTATTCGGCTGGAAGGCTGCTCAGCAGCACTACTAGCTGCCGTGCCTCGTCGACGGGCTCTCCAAGCGTCTGAAGACCGACAACGAGCTCGTCGAAAGCGTCCAAATGCTTTGCCATGGCCGTTCCAGCATCCATCTTGAATTCGTGGAGGCGCCGTGTCATCGTGACCCGATTGTGGAGTGTAGTGCGATTGTAGAACTCCCTAAGTGTTACCCACGCTTGAATAGCACGCGTCGACGAACGGATTTTTTTTTTGGTGTTGTAGTTCCACACCCTGCGCGATGATGCCGAGAGCCTTTGCGTCATTTACTAACCAAGCTTCCGTTATCTCACTCTCCGCCTTGACCACCTCCACGTGCGCCAGCAGTCCTTTTCTGGCGAGCGACATCCTCATATTGAACTCCCAATGGAAATAATTTCCACTTCCTAGGAGGACTTCGGCGCGCTTGGTACTCATCATGTGCGATCCGTGCGAGGCGAGGCGTTCTTGGTCTTGACGCCGCTGTCCGAGTTGCGGCTGTTAACCTGTTGGGGTAGTTGGATGTAAAAGCCGAAGTGAATATATTTAAGGTCCTTAGTTCACTACCCTTAGCTAAGTCTAAGCCTTAATGTAACGACATCCTGTGATCTCATCATGTAACCGCGATCCATAACCTTCTTCCGTAATAACCACCATGAAACACCCTGACACAGAAATCATCACCATGAACCCAACATGAAACGACTGCACGAAGCGGCGTATTCTCAACAAGTGACCAACAATTCCGCATTTATTGTATCGTCTGCTCCGGTTGTTGACGAAGTGTGCTGAAAGTCGCGTCTGGCAGGCGTAAAGAGTCAAGTGTGATACCATTGTTCATCTTTGTAGTCTCTACGCTCACCATCTTATATGCGTCGTGACGATGGGCGGCGCCATACTCTCGTGTTTGACTCTTTCACTCTCATCGTGTACAGTTATTCAGAGAGATCGTCAAGGCTCACTTCGAGTAGTCGTGTTTCTCATAAATAATGCTCTTCGTGTTCTTGCTCCTTCATGCGTCAAGTCTAGTGTTTACTACGGTGTCCTGTGACCCTGCAATGTCTACTTGACTGTCGATGGTACGCGACGACATGCCGGTCGAACTATCGACCCCCTTCAATGTTGTCTCTTCCGCCTCTTCATTGTGTCCCGATTCGCTAGAGTTGGTGCTGCCCTCCCATGTCTGCTGCGTATCCATCACATCCTGGAGCTGGTGCATGTACTCCAGATTGGTCCTGCAATCCAGCGAGCAAAATCGACCTGCAGCGTTACTGAGAGATGAGAGAGACGTGAAGAAAAGGCACTCGCAGTTGGCGCAGTGTGTCTGTCGCTGACGCCATTGGGCTCGACCAGAATCTCCCTCAGCATATCCTCGCCGTGCTATTCGCTTCACTTTCGTCTGCCCGGAAGTTGGTGGAGCAGATGATACGCATCGGTCAGGTTTGTTGTAGAGTTCGATGTCGTTGCTGGACGGGCAGCTTGCAGTTCCGTGAGCCGCCGACCTCAGAATGCATTCCACTTTTCCTGACCAAGACTTGGGTTGCTGGTTCGGTGCACGTCTCCTTCTGTGAAAGATGAACTGGATCATGCGCGACTTAAAACTCGTGGACGTGGCGAAGGCTTCTTGCGTCTGATGCACCACAGACTCTCGACGCATCAACTTCGGATGGTAGTCCTCTCGAATGCGTGCTGCACTCGTCACAACGTGGATGCTGCTTGACGGCATATTCAAAAATGATCAATACCAGCGTTGCAGCGTTCGGATGATTGATTTTGCTTGTGGCCTCAAGTCATGCGAACATGTCGACATGCCTGGACTTCCTCGCTTTCTAATGGCAGTTCGTGACAAGGTCATGAAAGGGATTTGAAATCAAAATCTGGTCTCTAAACAATGGATCGAGCTTAATGGCTCTACTGTAAATCCATGGACTTGATCACTACACAAAGTGCTTCGCGACGAGAGCAACGCGCACATGGATACGCGGTACACCTCGAATGCTTGATGGTGAGGGACCATGAGAACGCAAGCACTAGTGTTCGAATCGTCATCGTGGAGGAAGAATAAGCAATAGCTGACTCATTTGGAGAGGGTTGTGGGACGACTTCTCTGCTTGAAATAGCTATGGGACGTGACGAAACACGAAATCGATAGTTTTGTAAACAAAGCCACCTCAGTCATCATTAATGACTGCTCAAACACTGCTTCGATTTACAAGTGATTACAACATGAGAGAAACTCGGCACCGGATCAATTCGGGTTCGGATGGTAATACGCGCTCGAAGACGATGGGTACAACTGACGAAATGGTAACGAGCCAAACGTAACGCAGCTGCATCAGTGAGACTATCGTTGGCGCCATGATTCTTGGTTTGAGTGCATCGGCTTTACTCGCATCACCCATGCCTTCTGATGACGTACAATCAGAGGCGTTTACACTGATGGTGTATTGTGGTGGGGTTGACAGGGGTTTCAATGGTCTTTGTGTGTCCGCATTTCAATCTCTGCTTTTGATGGTAGATATCCTAGCAAGAACAGTGCTTATGGGCGGAAAGAGCATCTCACTGCAGTACTTCCAGCACGCCAAGTGTTGTCTTCATGTATTCATTGCATGTGGCGTTGACCGTAGCGCTAATAGTGACAACACGTTATGTAAGAACAGGCCGTCCTCGTAGCTGCGTGGATTGTATTCGTTGACATGCTTCAGCCAAATAGACTATTCGACACCGCATTTGTATTCGTCGCTTAACTTATCAGTAAGCGCAATCTTGTTTTGGACCCCGCGCTACTCGCTCTTGACAGCCATTGATGTGACAGCGTTGCGTGGTAAAAACTGTGACCAATCACCGCAACATGGAACAGGGCCAGTGCCGTGACCGATACAAGATGTACTATGAGCGGGACCACCGTGACGTGGTAGAGTATCGTTTCACTTCAGTATAGATGACTTGTGCCTTGAGTCTGGCTTCATGATGTCAATAGGATGTCTTCAACAGTAGACGGTTTTAGGATAAACCGAGAACAGGCGGACGTATGTATGTGTCCTGTCGCTGATGGTTCATGCAAGAGAAAACCCCAGCTGTCGAAGAACGATCCGAGTGAATGCACTTGATGGAGCTCCTCTTACGTTCGCATCAAGATTCGTACCTTGCCATTTCCAGTTCAATCGGAGACTTGAACTGAGGTTGTATGTAAGCATTTGTGGCAGGTCCACACGAAATGAGCTACTTCCAATGTTTCACATGGCGCTAGAGCGAGTAGCAATCTATCAGTGCTTTACAATGACACAACCTTCTCTGATGTCCTATGATGACTAACCCGAAGTTGAGGTACCTGTGAGCAACTGCGCTAGCGTTTGAGCTACGCCAGAAATTTGGGTGTCCCTACATCCCTTGCATTCCTGCTCGAGTTTTGTTCATGGTGGCGACGTACCAGCTTCCATCTCGGTGGTTTGTCGTTCGCAATGGTTTCCTGTGATTAAGGCTACAACGATACTATCGCTACAGCCGTTCGGCCAACTGTAAGAAGCAACACCTCTTTTCGGTTGATCTCAAATACGATGGCTAGAACGGTGTTGGGGTAGTTGGATGTTAAAGCCGAAGTGAATATATTTAAGGTCCTTAGTTCACTACCCTTAGCTAAGTCTAAGCCTTAATTTAACGACATCCTGTGATCTCATCATGTAACCGCGATCCATAACCTTCTTCCGTAATAACCACCATGAAACACCCTGACACAGAAATCATCACCATGAACCCAACATGAAACGACTGCACGAAGCGGCGTATTCTCAACACTCCCACTCGCCGCTACTGCTTGGTTTCTTTGCACTGGATACTGTTTGCATCGCGCAGGAACTTGAACGTCTTGGATCCTAGCGCCTTGGTCAGTATGTCGGCCAATTGATGTTTGGTTTCCACATACGCTACCGCAACCGTCCCGTCTTCGATCGTCTCTCTGATGAAGTGATGACGGATGTCCACATGCTTGGTCCGAGCATGATAACCAGCGTTTTGGGCCAAAGCAATCGCTCCTTGATTGTCCTCCCATATCTGGGTAGCGTTCATTTGTACCATTCCCATGTCCGTCAGTATCGCACGCGTCCATAGCACTTCCTGAACGCATAGGCTTAAAGCCATATACTCAGCTTCCGCTGAGCTGAGGGGCAACCGTTCGTTGGAACTTAGATTTGAACATCACCGGAGCGTTCCCAATCATGATCATAACCCCCGAGACAGAACGCCTGTCGTCGAGGTTGGAACCCCAGTCCGCATCCGAGTAGGCTTCAGCTGTGACGCTGCCAGTACCACCTTTGTAGATGATCCCGTGCTGGCGAGTCGTCTTTAAGTAGCGTAGAACACGTATAGCAGCGTTCCAATGCTGCGCCCCGGGATTCTCCAGGAAACGAGAAAGTTGCGTTACCACGAATGAAATGTCCGGGCGAGTACACGTCGTGATATACAGTAGGCATCCAATTAAGGAGCGGTAAGGTCTCGATTGCATCTTTCTTCGCTCTTCATCCGTTGCTGGCGATTGCGACTTTGACAACTTAAGACCAGTTGCACACGGGTTGTCAATTGACTTAGCGTTCTCTTGCCCGAACCGTTTCGCCACATCATCGATGTATCGCGTTTGCTTAATCATAAGCGTTCCAGCAGTCATGTTATGGTCGATCTCCATTCCCAGGATAAATTTCGCCGGTCCAAGCTCCTTCATCTTAAAGACACTCTTGAGTGCGTTTTTCACGTCATCAATTTCATCACTAGTCTTCGCCGCAATGATCATATCATCTACGTAAAGACAGACGTAAATGAAATTGCTCTTGGAACGCTTGACATAGACGCACTGGTCCGCACCACAGCTCTTGAATCCGTACCCAAGAAATACCCGATGAATGGTTTTGTTCCAGGCACTTGCAGCTTGCTTCAGTCCATAGATGGCCTTGTTCAGCTGGCACACATAGTTCTGAGCGTTCTCAACGCCAATTGGTACCTCCATGTAGACACGGTCCTCCAACTCACTGTTGAGGAACGCTGTGTCAGCGTCCAACTGTTCCATCTGGTACGCGAAAGCAGCGCAGACGGAGAGCACAACTCGAATCGAGTTCATGTTCGCCACAGGAGAGTACGTTTCAAAAAATTCCACTCCGTACTTCTGCTTGAAACCCTTCGCCACCAACCGCGATTTGAAGCGCACCACGCGACCGTTCTGGTCACGCTTCTTGGCGAAAACCCATCTGCACCCAATGGTACGGATGGCCGTTCCTCGTGGAACTAATGTCCAGGTATCGTTCCGTTTATGAGAGAGCAGTTCAGCATCCATGGCTTCACGCCACTGTGTTGAATCTTCACTGGCAATTGCCTGAGCGTATGTTGTAGGAAGATCCACTGTGTCAATGCTTGCTGTGTACGCGAGGACGGCTTCAGCAATAAGGCCGTCTTCATCGATCCTGGCACGCTTCGGATAGGACGGTCCATCTCTTCCTTCCGACTTCCGTTCTTCCTCTGCGTCCGTTCCCTCTTCAAGAAGGAAGACTGGTTCCCGGGAACTTCTAAAACGGTCTCTAGGGGTATGGAACACCACTTGATCGTCCTCGAAGATAGTCGGTGGTCCACGGTACGGTTCCAACTCAAATCCAGTGGAAGCTGACCGTTCTTGTGGCATCAGCAGCGGCGGTATAGCGTCCTGTATCGGTTGCATGCTCTCCATCTCTACATCCGGTGCGTCGTTCTCAACGCCTTCCATGGGTTCCGCTTCGACGGGTTGAAGTTCCACTGGTGCGAGCGTGACTTCATCATCGGCGTCTGTGCTAACATGAATAACTGTTTCGATCTGAGCAGGTAGTGTATCGTAAATACCATCTACCTCACGCTCGTCCAATTTCACCGAGCGAGAAACTTTGACCTTGGAAGCGTCCAAGTCATAGACACGGTAACCCTTGACGTTTTCTGGGTATCCGAGCAGCAGACATCTAAAGCTCTTAGGTTCAAGCTTCGTCCTCTTCGCTTCGTCAATGTGAGCGTACCCGCGAGAACCAAATACGCGTAGGTGATCTAGCGTAGGTTTCACTTTGAAACCTAGCTCAAACGGTGTTACGGTTGCGTTGTGCGTGTTCGTGGAACGGTTGATTAGATATACCGCAGTACTAACTGCTTCAGCCCACCACTCCATTGGAACGCCCTTGTAGTATAGCATACTTCGAGATCTCTCCATGATAGTTCGGTTCATCCGTTCTGCCACTCCATTCTGCTGAGGGCTATACGGGACAGTCCGTTGGTGCACGATACCGTTCAGCATACATATCTTCGTCATCTCTTGGTTGACAAACTCCGTTCCGTTATCCGATCGTAAACACTTCATGCGCTCTCCCCATTGATTCTCATAGAAATTCATGAACTCTCTAAGCTTAATGGCCACCTCGCTCTTCTTTTTCAAGAAATAGGCCACAACGTAGCGCGAGTAGTCGTCCACGAACGTCAGGACATACTTGGCACCACCTTTCGAAGGATTATTCATTGGTCCCATCATATCCGTGTGGACGAGCTCAAGAACGCGCGACGTCTTCGAGCTGGAACAATGCGGAAATTTAGCCACCGTTTGCTTCCCCTTCATGCATCCGCCACACAAAGACTGGGGCGGTTGACCAACAGCCGGAATACCGTTCGTGGCATGCCTTGTCTTATCCAGAGCATCCTGGTTGGGATGCCCCATGCGAGCGTGCCAAAGCT